CAATGATCTTAAGTTATTTAAATAGCTTACTTTATCAACATCGATATCCATTATTATTAATATTTATATGAAATATATACATAAATTCAAGTATTTCTTTTATAAATTTTATATAAGTGATTCACAATTTATTATTATTGTGGATGATACATATTAGTTAATGTCCTAAATTCATTGTTAAGACTAAATAGATAAATTTTGAAATGGAAAACTAAATAATTTATATGTAAAAAATAGATTCATATTTATTTTTCAATTCATACATCAATAACCATACAAATTTCGATTTAATTGAGGGAGAATTTGAATCCTCTATTTATTGTATTCCATCAGAATTCTTTATTTTAGAAATAGAAAATTCAAGAATAATAAATAATTTCTTATCTTATCTTTTATTCTAATAAAGGAAATTATTATTAAATTCATTATTAAAACGAATTAATAAAAGATGACAATCAGCTTGTACTCATATGAAAAATAAGGAGAAACTAAGAAAAAACGATCTTAATTATTATATTTTGAAAATCTTATATGAAGGGAGTTCATTATTTGTTAGAATTTAAAACTTATTTATACGTTCTTTTTTATATATTTTTAATAATATAAATGGCAAAAGAAATTGAGGAATATTTTGTAAAGAGACTTTAAACCTATCTATTAGAATATCTCTAAGATTTTTCACAAAATAATATGGCAAAAGTAAATAAATCAACTTATGTTCAAAGTTTTCTTTAGGCATTTCTTCTAATATTGTTTTGAAGAACTTATAAATTAAGAAATAAGCATTACTAAATTTTTCATTTCCAATGTACATAATAGATGGAAAAATAAGTTAAATTACAATTAATGTATTAGAGAGTAAATATTTTAGATGCCTCTGAATTACAAGGCCTAATAGCCAGAAATGATTGTTGAAGGAATAGACTTACAGGTATGCACAATATAAGAAGCGAATCTATTTGTTTCAAATAAAGACTAGCAAAGCTAATAGGGAGTGGAGAATTTGAAGCAACATAAATTAAAAATTTGGGAGGAATAAATGGCGAAGTATTTTGAATAGCTTTCTCCTCCCAATTGGATTCAAAAAATAGTAGATGGAATTTACAATAACATGTCTGTGTAAGTGAAATCATTTTATTTACGATTTTATAATTATTCAATTTTTGGTTGTGAAACATAGTTAAAAATAAGAGCTGACATATATATAAAAGCAACAGATAAACAATTTCAATAGAAATTTAATGGCGATGTGAACACAATTTATAAATTAATTGAAATTAAAAAGTTAGGAATTATGTATGTGAAGGCATCTAAGAGAAAAGAAGAATAGTAATTATTAAGTCCAATAGATATTTCAATTAAATTAATTATCAATAAGAATTAAGATGAGTAAGGTAAACCATTCCAAAATTTAACAATTAATATAGATACTCCTGTCATATTCTAATTAAATAAGGAATCTAAAAATTATTTGCTAAAATTAAATGAAGTTTTATAGAATCTGGAAATTGTTTAAGATAATTTTCATTTTCGACCAAAATGCGAAGTAAAGAATAACTACGGAGAGTGGTGGAAATACTTAATCAATGCAGTAATGTAAAATTAGAAGAATCACAAATTAGACTTAGGATATTCATCAAGAAGATTAGTGTTAATGAAGAGATATATAGAATTATATAAAAGAAAGTAAACAATAATTTTAGTGCCTTGGTTGACATGTTGGACAATTTAGGATGAGACAAAATTCAAAAAATGTGAAGAGTAAATGTCATTAAAAGATTTATTGAAATATAGAGAATGGGCATTTTAGGAGATTAGAATAGAGGCGAAGAGATATTATAATTCTTCTAAAGAGGGATAAAATAAGCAAAATGCAAAGCCTATGCTTGAATTATGGACAAATACTATTAATGATCAATTTGTTTTGAAAGAATAGAAAAAGAGAGATGATGATGTACCAATTGAATTGGAAGATGACGAGAAAATTAATTTGTATGAAATTCTTGAACGAGATAAGACTTAAGTTCTTTCAAGTTATTTAAAAGGTTAAAATAATGATCCTGATTAAATTAAAACCCAGATTTATCTTAGTGTTCATTCAATCTTTTTAATTATTTTAGAATGTCGTCCAGCTAATGTTGCATAATATTGTCCTAAAAATACTAAAATATTTTCATTTTGTCAATGTAAAAAATGTATTCAACTAATTAAAAAGCCATAGATGGATAAATAGAAAACATCTTCTTTTAATCAAAATAATTCAATATCTGAAGTTGTTAAACAAACCTAAAGATAGAATGATGATGGATCATTTCATACTGCAAAAGAAATTGATAGTTTTTATGAAGAAATTGAAGATTTATAGAAGGATGACTTCCAATTTTCTTAAGATTTAAGCTAGGATTAGAGGAATAACAATTCTTAATTAAAATAGAATTTTGATTTCAATCGAACCAACAAATTAATTTTAATTGTTAGTTTAATAGGAATTAAGGTTCCCGTTTCTATTTATTAAAATGGTAGATTGAAAACAAATGAAAATGAGAATTCCACAATAGTAATAGGTGAAATTAAAATATTAGCATCAGGCATGGTTCCAAAATTAATGGAATTTTAGAACAAATATAATGAAAATACTGAAAGTCAGTCACCTTTATTTAAAAAGAAAGACAATCCTTAGAAATAAAAAGGCGATGACAATTTCGATCAAAAATAATTTAGTTATTCAAGAGTCAGAGTCAGCGAATTTGTTAATGATGTTTTTGAAGTTTCAGTGACAAAGGATTAATCATTTTTCTAAGGTAGTGACATTTGCTTTGAAACATTCTGTGAGTTCTTAAGTCAAAATTAAATGAATAATGTTTCATGCTTTTTAATAGATTATGAAAATGATAAACATGGATTTTAAGATTTCGGAACTGAATAGTTTAAGAATTATGATAAATACTTTGTCGTTAATGATAAGGAGGAAAAAGATGAGGTTGATGAATCTATGTTGTTGCATGTAATTAAGTAATAAAAGAATGAGAATAAGTGGGCCTTCCTCAAATAAGCTGCTTTGTAAATTTATGATAGATCAAGTTAATATGAAAATGATAATTAATGGATAGGCTGTTTAAATAAACAGAAATTTTTAGAAGAAGTCCATACCAAACTTATAGATATCATTAAAAAATCATTGTTTGCACCTTTTCTAGAAGAATTTGGGGATAAAGTTATTCCATTATGTATCATAAATCTGAAAGATAAACTTACATTCCCTGCTGATTCTAAAAGTTATAATTTATCTATTTCATTATATTTAGAAGGAGATCAATCGGATTATAAAATATCTCCTCAAAATGAGAAAAGAAAAAAGGTTTCATCGTAATAAACCCTGGATGAACAATCTAATGAATAAATTTCAATTATACTCCAGAAGTTTTCTATATTTATTTCATCAAAAAGTCTGAGCTCTTTGCTTGACTTTTCTTAAAGCATGGATAAGACTTCCTTGAGTTAAGGATAATTATATGTCACCTAAGATCATAAACTCTTGGAATGTATTTTAAAGTCTAAGCCATTAGGATAAGAAAATACAAAACCTCCTGGTATGAAATTCTCTATTTAATTTGTTGATAAACTTAAAATTAGAATTGTATCTGATCAGATATCTAACATTATTAAAACGGAATTAAAGTTTTAAATTAAAAATTTTAGATATTCAACTGTGAAAATTGATGATTTATTTTAAAATATTGTAAATAAATCTGGATAAACTTTGTATTAATAACATTATAAATATTTTTCTGCTTATAGATTAACAATAGAATAATTCAAAATTGCGCATAAATATTTTTCATAAGACTATAAAAACAAAAATGAAGAATTAAGAAATTATGAGAAAGAATAGCAAACTGATGACAAAAAGTCTGGGTTATCCTCAGGTAAATTCCCTTTTTCCAAATAAACATCACAATAATAATCTCAATCTGCTGATTAAAAGAGCCAACAAAAAGGTTAAAAAAATCAATAATAATAACCAAAATCAAGAGATCCTATGTTCCATATCAAAGGAATCAAATAAACCATTTTGAAAACGTAAATAGTAGCACTTAAATTTTAAGCCAATATTGAAAATCACGCCTTATTGACAGATTCTAAATTATATGTTTAAATTCCATTCTTAAATTTGAGGATAAATGATTCCTGCATTAGTTTCATTGAATTACTTTTGATCTTAAAAAATAATATCAAAGTTAAATAAACACCTTAATAAAAACATAAAATAGGGTAAGATAGTCTTTTAAAGGCTGAGTTAGATACTTTATTTCATGATCACAAGGAGTAAAGTTCAGATTGTAAGCATTGTATCTTAAAATATAGAAAAACAGTAGAATTAACAAATATTTTATTTGGAGTCATATCAGAAATTACCAAAAGTGCAGATGTTCCTTGCTGGTTCCATATTCTACATAATGAATGTCAAAAACTTGGAAATAGTTCAAATTTATCAGTCAGACATAAAAAAGAATAAGGAATTAAAATTACATTCTAGAGTACATAGAAAGCATCCAATCATGGATAATATAAATCTATCTTAGCTTTCCCAATACTCGTTATCACTAGAGATATAGGATACTTCAAGGATAATATTATGATTCATTGTTCAGCTTCTAAATTTAAGGAATCAGGTATAAGTACTAGCAAATCAAGATTTGATTAAGAAAATGAAATTAATTAATTTGAAAAATAAAATTAAAAAGATATTTCTTCTTAAAAAGGGTAATCTGCTTAAAAAAAAGAAGCCAATTAAGCAAGTACATAAGAAAAGTAAATGAAAGAAACTAATTATGTTTTGGTTTAGCCTGCTCTTAAAGTAAAAGAACCACTTTTATTTTGGTAAAAGTTGGATGATAAATTTATATTCTACTGTAGAAGCAACGAAAAGGATATGTTTAGATTAGATTATTCAAAAGAATATGAAGATAAATCATTAGAAATTAATAGTTTAATCCAAGATGATGATTAAATGAGACTAAATGACCCAAATCTTTATATATTACTCTATTATAATAAACCACTCAGGACAGAACTAATCTAAAATAAAGAGAATTTCTAAAGAAATGAAAAGAATTCAAAAAAAAAAATATTTTTTTCTTTGTAAATGATCAAAGCTATATTTCAAAATCAACATGCCGCTTGCAATGTTTTAACTACTTTCTAAAATATTAACAAAATTTAATCAATTTTAAAGAAAGTATAGGATATTGTCAATTATGGTTATAAATTAGATGAAAATGTAGAGAAGCAATAATTATAAGATAGTCCTATTAAATTATTAGATGAAATGATTGTCTCAGCTAATATTTCAAATATATATTTAAAGTCTAATGAATCATTCTTTAAATTATCGTAATTCAAAGTCATATTGAATCTAGAATATATGAGTCAAATTTCCAACAATGCAAAATCAAGTTTTCATAAGAAGAATTCATCAAGCATAGTGAATTAAGAAGTATTCTCAAAGGTTAAAAGTAATATCACTTAAGTTTTCCCTACTGATGATCTAATAATAGTAAAGTGTCATTCAATTATATTGAATTTTAATATGGTTTCAATAATAGATGTTAAATTGATTCATGTTTAAAAGTTTTCAGATGCATTATAATTATAAGTTGAAGAAATTAAAATAAGTATTACAAACAATTTAAGTAAATAAAAAGAGAATTTATTAACTATGCCTAAAAGAGATAGACTAACATAAACTAAAACAGGAATTCAGCAAGAGACAAAGAAATTTGAAAAACCTTTGGCGATTTGTATTAAGTTAGAATTTTAGAATCTAAATCCAAAAATTAACATCTCTGTTCATTAAGGTTAAATTTAATTGTCTTAGTAGAGGGTTTCTGATTTATTAATAGGATTGAACAGTTTTTATCTTTTAAATATAGAAGAGTCAATTAATTTAAGGCAACATCTATTAAAATACATATTCCTATAAGAATTAGAAATTATGGGAAATGATCAACCAAAAGTTATTAATCTATTTATATAGGACAAACTGTAGAGGTAATAGAAGTTGAGTTTTATTTTGGAATTGAAGATAGAAGAATTTTAAGTTGTGCTATAAGAAAAAGATAAGGAGTTTTTCTTTTTTGAGTTTCATCAAATTTCAATGAAGAAAAAATTAATTAAGAATTAGAGTTAAAGGTTAATGATTTAGAATTGAAACCATAACCTTCTTAAGGAGAGAATGTTCATTATCCTAATTTAATTAAATAGAATGGACATTAAGCAATGAAAATTTTATTAGAAAATAATATTATCCATTTAGAGAATGTGCAATTTTTTATGATTTCCAGATTCTTAAATGAATTAGATGCATTTAAATCAGAGGTTGAAAAAATAATATAAAAAAATAAGGATGAATTATTAGAAAAGTATCAAAGTGATTTTGAATTCTAAATGCAATTAAAATAATAGGAAAATTTTGAGCTCAATAAAGAATAGTTCAATTATTAAGTTCTAATAAAGAATTCTTAAATAATTGTTCCATAATCTTCTTCTGATAAGAATTAGGTGAAGATTTTATTTGATTATGCAGATGTAAAGGTTAAAAAGGAAAAGAAATTATCTAAGATTCCAGAAATACAGGACGATAAAATTGAAGTCTTGTAATAACAGAAATTATTAGTGGATTATGAGGATAAATATACGAAGATTTCTGAAAAATAATTAGAATTTTAAGAGATTTATATCACTGAAATAAAAGCAAATTTCAGAATGGTTGAAGTCGATTACGAAATGTATTGTGATTAAGATGATTAAAATTCAATTAAGGGCAATTTATTAGATGCAGGTAATAATTGAATTAATAAATTATTTAGATAGTGTTGAAGTCGAAATGAATTTACCAAGCTTTGAACAATTTCTAGGGATAAGTGGATGGAAATATAAAGATAGCTGCATTATTAAACCTAAAAACTTAAAAATGAAATTGGATTTGGGCAAACTGATGAAAGTTTAGAGCTATATTGATCAAAACTTATCTGAAAAGTCAAGTCTTTTTGAATTTCATAAATCTTCTCTTTAAAAAATTAACTTTGATGTAATTTAATATCATATAATTTAGCTTGATTTATTTTCAACAGAAGCATCTTTGACTAGATATGGATAGGTGGAATAAGATAAATTGGAGAAACATAAAAATGCTAAATTATATGAAACTTAAAAACACAGGTAGAGTAAGTAGTTTAATACTCATAATCAGACAAAATAAATGAAGAAATAAAATTATGATTCTTGATTATGAATTATAAAATATTTATTTAATAATAATTATCTTATATATATTAATATGCCAGAGTTGTTTATTCCTGTTTATTTCGGCTCATTTGACTTTTAAAATCATTTTATTACAGCATGGGCTGATGATTTAGATAAAAAGAGGATTGCCACAGGTTCAATAAATGGAGACATCATCATTTGGGAATTTGACAATTTCATTTTAAAACCACTTATAAAGTCAACACCACATTTAATATACAGAGTAGGAGGAGTCACAGCATTATAAATAATGAGAAGACCATTTGCTGAATTCTAGGATAGCAATATGAATTGTGCAATAGCAATTCATTAAGATAAGAGGATTAGAATTTTGAGTATGTTAGATGGCAAATAAATTTTAATTTCAGATCATGATTAATTTCCATATACAAAATAAATAACTCAAATCTACCCAATTGGTGATCGAACAAGTAGATATATAAGTTGTTTTGGTGAAGGAACAGCTCTTTACATATATGATTTATGGAAAATGTGTTGCAGCAAAATATTTTAGATTCAGGATGAATTTGATCAACCAAGATTTACCATTTTTACATCTATTGGAGCAGACTTTGCTGTCATTGGTATTATTTGATCATATTCAAGATAGCAAATGCAGAGTCTACAAAATTGATACATCAGCATATAAGAAAACTGAAAGATAAAATTATTTAAAGTATATTGAAAAGAAAGCATAAGAAAAAAAGAAAAATGGAATAAAAAAATCGTTGATTAGGATGTCTTCTAGTTTTTCTTTAAAAGGATTGCCTTAAAGTAAAATAATCAATACAGTTTACAACACTAAATCATAGATCATGTACATTGTTTATTCAAAATCAATATATGTTGTGAATTCTCCGTTTAAAGAAACAGAACAATAGAGGGAAATGTTCTCAATATAATCTTCTACAAACTTGATTAAATTTAGAAATGTGCATTTATTTAAAAGTCAAAATAAAACTATGATAGTTATTGAATAGTTGAATGGACACACTAGTTTCATTTATGAGAAAGATATTCAAGACATAATAAGTTTAATATCTAAAAGTTATAATTAGTGTATAACTCTGGATTTTAATGGATTTAGTTTTTCAAAATAAAGTTAATCATACTAAGGTTAACTCTTATTATTAGTTAATTAATAATTGACACCAATCTAAGTTTCTAAATATTTTTTCTAAAAGATCATCTACACAATTAATAATTTATTATTTAGATAAAATGGATGCATTATTGAAATTTATATACCAGATTCGATTAATTATGAGGATTTTCGTATTTGCAGTCTCTAATAGGATAATTTGTTTGACATAAAATTATTATCAGAAGGATTTATGCTTTTCTTGCATTCTTAATCAAGATTTATAAATGAAAACAAATAATTTGAAATTGCAGATTTACCCAAAAAACTTATAGATCTATCAATTTTTGAGCAAAATGACATTTTAAAATCTCTAAATGAAAACTTGCCGATTGAAATTTAAGAGTAATTAAATTAAATTCAGAACATTTCTATTTATACAATTGGTTTATATAATAAAACAGATCTATTCGCCATCTTTGGAACAGAATAAGGGTAAATCTTTTTAATTCCATTCTTTTATGAAAAGAATAAAAGATGGAATATTTATGTTAACAAGGAATTTGAAAAAAACATAATATTTTTGAAATTTATCAAAAATTCCATTTTTGCTGTGGATCAAACATTAAAATTAAAAGTTTTTAGTCTATCAAGCATATTTGGTAAATTTGATAATCAGTCTGCTGATTTTTTTTCAACCTATTAAACAATTTTACCATCAAACATAAAGTAAGTGATCTAAATTAGATAATTGTTTTAAGAGTCGAGCAATAGCACTTTTTCAAATAATGATGCCCTTATTGTTAAAAGAAAGTTAGCTAAACATTTTGTGGCTTTATTGTTGGAAGATGATTCTATCGTCATATATCATACAATATTGAATGTTAAGAAGTTCTCCTTTCATAATTAATTTAAGATAAATAAAGGATAGGTGAAATTATATTATGTACCACATTTATTGATATTTCTATTTTCAAAAGGAGTTGAAGTTTCAGTGTGGTCAATGGAGAAAGGATCTTTTGAGAGAATGATAAATATACAATAATTGTAAGAGTATTTGAATATTGATACACTTTTAACATAGAAGTTGTCATAAATGATCAATTTATATGATTTCAAATCATTCAAAACTGATTAAGTATCTTAATTTGATCTTTTAGAATATTCAAATAGGAGTTATTAGATTTAATACAATTATTCATAAGAGTTGAAACAAACATCTCCATAATATTTTTATGATTTTTTTGGAACCTTAAACAAAATATAATAAAATACTTTTGAATTTGATGAAATTTTACATATTCTTTCATATGAAGACTAAGCAATTAGTTATAGAAATAAATCAATAACTATATTTGAACCTTAAGAGATGGGTGATATGTTTCTATTGTATAAGATTTATTTAAAATAATTCAAATCTACATTATAATTTGATAGAGTAAATAAGTTATATAAATAATAAAAAGAACAAAGAAGACTAGATTCTAGTTCTTCTTATTATTTAATATGGTTTGATTGTAAAAAGAATATTGAATTAATAAAATACTCAATGGAAAATACAGCATCTTTAAAGATCCCATTTACTTATGTCCATTTTTATCATACATTGAATTTAGTACCTATTTTTAAATGTTAATTTGGTCTATAAGGAATGGCAGAAGGATTTTCAAGATTGATTCAGTCTAATAATTATTAAATTAGTGGATTAATGTCTACTTAATACAGCATAGCAGCAGCATTATGCTTAAGGCAAATAAAAAGTAGATTTTAGATCTCTGAAATTAATAATTCTACAAGTTTATTAAGTTTATCTAGATATAGTCTTGACAACTCAAAAGATATTATTGAAATTTCTTGTTAATTGATCTCATAGCAAATAAAGAAAATGGATAGTTTTTGTAATGATATTGTAGTATTACAAAGAACGTCTAAAGAGTTCTTGTAATTATTTGAAAGGAGTAGTTCAAATGTGTATTTTTCTTTAGAAATTATGTGTTTAATAATTCAAACGTATTTAATGTAATAGATGATGAGTAATATTGAAATGATTAATTATGTATTTAATAGAATAATGTCTGGTTTCACTCACTAATTATGTTTGAAGAAACCAAATATTGTATTCGTTTTTATTAAATTGTTAGAAGATGGTATGAAAAATTTTCATAAATGCATCCAATAACCTAAAGTTTGTCTGCAGACTTTGATATAAATTTACTATTACATATATACTACTTATAAACACGGTTTTTCATTAAAAGAAATAATAAATGCTACTATAAATAAGAAATCAAAAGACAAAGACAAAGATAAATATGAAATTTTGAGACAATATTAATCAATGAGTCAACTCGACTTATAGAGAATAAAATAGAGATTAAGAATTTTAATCATGGCCTTATCGGAATATTTTTTTGAAGATTTTAAGGGAACTATTAAGGAGATGATAAACTAAACAGACATCTATCCAATAATTGCCTGCTCAATTCTTGATTTATTGCATTGTTTATCAAAAACTGATATTAAACCCAATGAAATTTTATTCATCTTAGATTTATCAATAAAGTATTACATGCATTTATAAAATTAGATCAATAGATTAGAATAATCAATAATTAAGAAGGTATACTTACAAGACCTTTGTGAAATTAGTATAATATTTAGATTAGAGATTCGAATTCATAAGCTTCTCTTAAAAGAAATTAAAATTGGCCTTTGCCTTTGAAGGTTTAGTATAGATTTATGATCTAAGATATGGAGTAAAATTATAACCATTAGATAGATATTAATGTAATATATAAAATATATGTATTAGCATAAATAACTAGTATAGCATTTGATAGTAAGGGCAATTAATTAGCTTCATTTTCTTAGAAAGATTAAAATTTAAAGATATTTCAATTAAAACCAACTAGTTCTTTTTTATAAGGATATGAAAATGTATACATTAAATTAACTCATTAATTTAATTTTCTATAACCATTGCACCATACAGTAGAATGGGATAAAGACTGTGAATATATTTATTTATAACATGAAGATGAATCACAAGTATTTAAAATTGATTGAATTAATATATTTAAAATATAAAAATTATTATAAATGGATAATTGCTGTGGAATTATGATGATGCAGTCATCACATCCTTCATTTATAGATCAGTATAAAAATATGGTGGTTACAACTCAGGTTGCAGAATCTATATTTCATTCACAATCATGCTCCTTTCACCCACTTACATAAAATCATACTTTAATCTTAACTTCTGGGTATTTATTAGCTAAATTTGCTGAGGATATTAATACTTTTGATACTGATTAAATCAAAAAGCATGTAAAATTTGGTTTACTAAAGGAACAAAATAAATTTGTTGAATTAAATCTTCTATGCTTAACTTATGAAAAATCAATTGTTGATTGTTTAAATCAGTTTGATATTGATAGGCATGTTGGATATGTCTTATATTTAGAGATGCTGAATTCAAAAGAAACTTTAATAATACCTAAATATATTGATGGTCCCCTCAAAGAAGGTCAATAATTGATATCAATTAGTTCTCCATTTGCAATATAAGGTTAAGAAATGTATAAAAACTACTTTAAGAAGGCAATCATATCTTAAATCATCACAAACAATAAATTTGAACAATAGTTAATAGTCTTAGACCTAATTAGTTAAACTGGATAAGAAGGAGGGGCTATATTTAATTCAAATGGAGAATATGTAGGTATGATTCTCTAAAATGTCTAAATTGGTTAGGCTTATAATCGCTATTTCACATTTTGTCTGAATTGGAAAGTTATAAATTCTATTTTCTAATCAAATTTCAATTTACTGTCAATACAATAATTATTTTTATAATCATAACTAATTGATTAAATGTTTTTGGCATCAAATTTTGTTCAATCTGATTTTGGTCAAATAGGCAGTGCAGTTATTATTAATGACAAGATGAATCAAAAAAGCTATATACTAACGGCTTCCAATTTCCTTATTAATAATGGAAAAGGCTCGAAAATCTTAGTAGGTTTGAATTAAATTAAAGGTATACTTTTGGAGGACTTTAAAAAATCTTATAATATTACTTTAGCAAAATGTGGAGAATATTTATAAAGTAGTTTATTTATAGAAGACTTTATAAATTATAAGGAATTAGAAGTTGGATAACCTGTTTATTTGATTTGTTATTAAGAGGGAGTATTTTAAAATCAGCCATATATTTCAAGAGGGCGAATATTGAAATTAATTAAGAATGAGATAGATGAAAATTCTACCATCATAACTAATTGCTATCTCAAGAACTGTTTAAATGGAGGGGGATTGTTTTCAGAGTAAGGAAAACTAATTGGATTATTATCAAATGTTGTAAATTATATGAGTGAAGGAATCTTTTGTGGGTTAACTATTTTCACACCAATTCTATTATTTGATTAATTATTCAAAGATTTATATTACTAAAAGTAATAATACTTAATAAAATAGATAAATTACAGAGTTTACATTATAAAAGTTAAGAATGATTTAATAGTTGAGCAACCATTCTCCTTATGTATAAAGTTAATATGGTTAACAGAACCCTAAGTTATGAAAATTAATTTTTGTTATTAACAATATCTAAGGGTTATTTTATTAAATCTCTTCTTTAACCTAAATGTAACATTCCTTTTATTTTTGATAAATAGTCCCCTTAAAATCTAAATAAGTATCTAATAAAAATTAATTTTATTGAAATTAACTCTCCTTTATTTGAAATAAGCAATAGAATAACTTCAATAAAAATAAATTGTGCTATATTTTAAGATTTTTTGCTAACTTATTTTAATTTATTCTTAATTAAGGTTTTAGAATCCAGTTTAAGTGTTTGATTAGATATGCTGATTGATACTTTCCACCTCGAAAATTTTAAAGTCATACCTTCTATTAAATATACTTTAAATTTAATACTTCTAATACAATTCTTAAAATTAGTAAGAAGTCATGAAGTTTTAAATTAGAATAAAAGGAATTAATATGTTTTTATAATTAATTATATAAATAGTTAAATTATTATTTTACTGTTAAATTCAAGTTATGGATCTTTCTCAATACAATTTAGTATAAAAGATTATGAATTTATATAGGTCGATGAAAACTCAGATTATATAATTCTACAGCATAATTCAAACAGCCTGTTATATGTTTATAAAGAATATGAAATACCAAAATTTATTGGGAAAAAACAAATTCTCCCCAATTCATAGTTGATAGAGATTTTGGAGAATAGGAAACAATTAGATTCTCTAAATTTACTGTAACTCACAGATTATGTCATAACATCAAAATTATGCTTATTATATGAATAATACATTAAAAACTTTGAGGAAGAATTATCAAAGCGTAGGAACAACAAAATGATCAGCTAATTTCACCCGACGATGTAGAAGTCAA